CATTCTGGCACTTGTTATAACTACACACAATTTATGTCTCAGAAGTTATAGTGCCTTGTTTGACCCTCCAATTCTACCAGTGCTCATCTAGAAGGCTCCTCCCTTCTCCAGCAACAGAAAAATAAGTCACTATCATTTAGCTCATTTTGTCACTGTACAGAGGATTGATAGTACAATAATAACTGAAAAATGTCATTTTCAGTAACATTTTATATTTCCTTAGTTTTCCTTCTTATTCATTAGTAATATACTTAATACATCTTTTACCAAATGCTTTCCAGAGGAGCAGTGAAATTATGGTTAAAACTAACATAAAATTTAAGTCAAGCCCTAGCCGGTTTGGCTCAGTGGATAGAACATCAGCGTTCGATTCCGGTCAAGGGCAGGTACCTTGGTTGCAGGTTCCTCCCCTGGTTGGGGCTCGTACAGGAGGCAACCAATCGATGTGTGTGTTTCTCTCACATCGATGTTTCTCTCTGTCTTTCCCTCTCTCTTACACTCTCCCTAAAAGTCAATGGAAAAATACCCTCGGGTGAGGATTAACAAAATTTAAGTTAAATTTTAACTGTTGAAATCTTAATCAACTTAGTTACTGTGGTATTATATTTTCTTATAGTGTCAGAAGTCTGAAGCTATCATGGAACAATGGAAGTCTTTTCAAATAATTGCTCATCTGAAGCATCTACAGGAGGAAATTTATGAGTTGAAAACTTGGTCCAACAGGATAACTGAAAAACAGGGCATATTGAACAACAATTTGACGACTCTTTCACAAGATATTACAAAAGTAGACCAAAGTACAACTTCCACGGCAAAAGATGTTGGTCTCAAGATTACAACTATAAAGACAGATCTACGCCGTATTTCAGGTTTAGTAACTGATATAACATCCTTGACAGACTCTGTGCAAGAACTGGAGAGTAAAATAGAAAAAACAGAAAAAAATACAGTAAAAAACATAGGTGATCTCCTTTCCAGCAGCATTGACCGAACAGCAATGCTCCGAAAGACAGCATCTGAAAATTCACAGAGAATTAACTCTGTTAAGAAGATGCTTTCGGAGCTAAAGAGTGACTTCAACAAGCATACAGACAGGTTGTTAAGCTTAGAAAGTGACAGAGCTAAAGTTCTGAAGACAGTGACTTTTGCAAATGATCTAAAGCCTAAGGTGTATAATCTAAAGAAGGACTTTTCCCGTTTGGAACCGTTGGTAAATGATTTAACACTACGCATTGGGAGACTGGTTGCTGACTTACTACAAAGAGAGAAAGAAATTGCTTTCTTACATGAAAAAATATCTAATTTAACAATAGTCCAAGCTGAGATTAAGGATATAAAAGATGAAATAACACACATTTCAGGTACGGATTAGTTTGCTATTATTTAGGTTAGACTGAAGTAAGTTGTTTTTTAAATGGGACCTCTGTCATGTCATGAAGAGGCTGACAAGTTAGAAATAATGAAATTCTGGAATAAATACCATTTTGTACATGATAAATAAAATCTTGAAAAGGAAATCTTGAAAAGGGTTGAGCAAAATAAGTATGCTAAAACATGTTTTCAAAATAAGTATGCTAAAACATGTAATTGAAACTTTCTTTAGCAAGAACCTTATGCATCACACACACACACACACACACACACACACACTCAGACAAGTGGGGAGAAGCAGGATCTGCCAGTCTAGCACTGGGAAACTAGATGGGGCAGAATCTGAATCCCCACTTGCCCTCACTGACTGCCAGGTAGCATAGTCTGTGTGGTTGGGGTCCTAACTGGATCCTGCCATTAGAATCAGGGTTGTTGCATTCATTATCCATTTAGAGGAAGAGATCATTTTTTAGTGTATTTTTAAAAATATATTTTTATTGATTTCAGAGAGGGAGAGATAGAAACATTAATGATGAGAATCATTGATTGGCTGCCTCCTGCACACCCCCTACTGGGGATCAAGCCCACAACCCGAGCATGGGGCCTTGATGGGAATCGAACCCAAGATCCTTCAGTCTGCAGGCCGACGCTCTATCCACTGAGCCAAACCAGCTAGGGCGAAAGAGGTAGTTTTGTCCTTAGTTGTTTAATTCATTTGTTTGAAAATTGTTTGAGTGCTCAGTGTGTGCCCAGCACAAGTGTAGGTGCTTTGGGGGCTACAAGGCTGGCTAACAAGTATCCCCTGATCTTACAGAACTTACAGTTGGCTATGAGGGGGTTTAATCAGGGCTCTGGTTGCAAGAAACAGTAATCCGAGTTATCTCATGTTGGGGAGGGGAAGACGTTTAACCTATTAATTTCATGAGTATCCCAAGGGAAGAATTGTGCTATAACCAGTGCTCGTGGGATCTGGAACCACAAGGCCAGTACCAATAGACAGAGCGAGCTCTCCTTCGAAGAGACCAGAGCATCAACCTCACCCAGGCACTTGTTAGAAATATAGAATGTCAGGCTCCACCTCAGAGCTGCTGAATCAGAATCTGCATTTGTAATAAAATCCTGAGGAAATTCATGTGGATATTGAGAAGGATAGTTAGAAACATCGATGAGAGAGAAACATCGACCAGCTGCCTCCTGCACACCCCCTACTGGGGATGTGCACGCAACCTAGGTACATGCCCTTGACCGGAATCGAACCTGGGACCTTTCAGTCTGTAGGCCGATGCTCTATCCACTGAGCCAAACCGGTTAGGCGAACATATTTATTTTTTTAATATATTTTTATTGATTTCAGAAAGGAGGGAGAGGGATAGGAACATCAATGGTGAGAGAGAATCATTGATCAGCTGCCTCCTGTATCACCCCTACTGGGGATTGAGTCCACAACCCAGCAGGTGCCCTTGACTGTTCATAATGATACCAAATGAAGTGTAAATTATGCTCCATGGAATTATCTTATGATACAATAATGCATTTTAGACATGAAAAAACAATTTTCAGCATTTAAAATACAAATTTATCTGAAAATTCATTTATGAAGATTTGTTTCTATCAGTGCCAAATAAACAAGGCACTCATCTTATTTGGTGCTAGTTCTACTCATTGAAATAATGACTCACAAATCTATAATTTGATAGCCATGCTGAGAAGGAACCCTAAAATCTGGATGTCACTAAGCTCATGGTCATGATTTTGTCTTCAAGTAGCTTCCAGGCAAATACAGGATGAAAAACTTTATGTTCCCTAACAGATGATGTAAAATTATTTATTTCAATAATATATATGGTCTCTTATGAGGGAGTCATCCTCAGCTGTGAAATTTCCCTGCACTAATATCAGTGAAAGCTTCATCAATTGTCAATATAATCAGTAAATCAGTTTATTCATAAAAGTGGGTCACATTATGTTTTCATGTTAATGATGTTTTCATAGTTTTAATCTTGCTTAATACAACCCCCTGGGGTTGATTCATGGGTCTTCAAATAATATTGTCCTTCACATGAATTATCCTCCATTTTCAAATCTCGTATATACCAGATTCCACAAAGAAAGCCAGCAGACTTGTACATCAAATCACAGTATTAGATAAGAATTACAGTGTCTTGTGTTTTCATTCAGCATAGCCAGCATTTATTAAGTGACTGTTGCATGCATGGCACATTAGTCCATAGAAACTCACGAAAACTTTGGAATTGTTGCTTTCTAGGAAACTCAAGTCACATTGTAATAGCCCAAAGGTTCATAAACTCTATCAATGATGAAGGTACACCTCATGGACTCCTATGACCATTGCTAAAAATGTGAAGGCAGGGCTGCCTTTTAAGAGATAAATGATTCGTAATATCTGAGGTAAGAACTGTTAGGAGGAGCTGACTTATTAAGCTACCACATTATTATTTGATATATCAGGAGAGGCATAGCACTTTTGAGCTAGATTCCTTGAAGTTTGGAGTTTGTTCCTTAATCATGTGGTATCTGAAATTTTTAACAATTATTTTGTGATTTATCTCATAAATGATAAAAATTACATGAACAGTTATATAACCTTATGCTAAAGAAACAGTATATAACTCTAATTTAGCAGCAAGACTGCAATGCACCAAACTTCATGGACATATTGGACATTTCTATCCCAAAAAGTTATCATGGAAATGTTAAACTCACTTTGAAATACAGTGGGGCCTTGACTTACGAGTGTCCCGACTAACGAGTTTTTCCAGATACCAGAGTTTTTCGAGATACCAGCCATCTCTCAGCCGATTTTTTGCTTTGAGTTGCCAGCTAAAATTCGGGTTACAAGCCAGCTTCAGATACCCTACCACTAGTTGGCGCAGTGAACGTCACAGTGAACGCCACATCAGCCCAGCATCACGTGTCTCACTCATTCACTTTAATGATTTGACATACAAGTAATTTGAGTTACGAGCTCCATCACAGAACGAATTAAACTCGTAAGTCAAGGCCCCACTGTATGCTCAAAACACTTCATGAAGTTTTCACAAAATGGAGATTTAAGCTGTTACTTCTTTTTCAGTCCAGTTTTATTTTACATGTTACTACATATGCATAATTTAGCAAAACTCAGGCTGGTTTTTTAATTGACTTTTAGAGAGAAACATCAATTTGTTGGTCCACGTATTTATGCACTCATTGGCTATCTTGTATGTGCCTTGACTGGGGATTGAACCTGCAACCTTGGTGTATCTGGACAATGCTCTAACCAACTGAGCTACCCAGCCAGAACCAATATTTTTATGATTTCAGAGAGAAGGAAGAGGGATAGAAACATCAGTGATGAGAATCATTGATCGACTGCCTCCTGTATGCCCCTACTGGGGATCAAGCCCACATCCAGGCATGTGCCCTTGACCAGAATTGAACCAGGGACCCTTCAGTTCTCAGGCCAATGCTCTATCCAGAGCCGAACCAGCTAGCTAGTAGGGATCAGAGGACTGAACCAACAGTGGTTAGTTTGCATTTTTCTCTGTAAGTTTTATACTAATTCTTTCCATTTTAGGATTAAATCTTTAAAAACTAGTTTTAAAAATAATTATCAAGTCACACACAAATCATGACCAATTGGATTTATTTCAACAGCAAATTTGAAACTCGTGCCTTAAGCAAGAGTACTACAGTAATTATATCAGGAATAGACGATTTCCTACACTGTCAAATATATAAAAGTTCCTTTAGCACTTCCGTCAACACTGACCAAAAGCAGATTCAGTCCATATGTGCATTGATCTATCTACTCAGTTAATCCAAGCTTCTTCTTCAGAGACTCTGGCATCTCAGGTGGAGGAGGGCGAGGGAGCCTGAAGTAGACCTTCACGGAGTCATAGATGAACCACTGTAGTGCAGTCAGAGTGCCGATCATGATGATACGGGCAAAGAGTCCCTTCCACACACCTGGTTAAAAAATGAAATATGAGTGAAAAATGGAATATACCCCAAAGTGTTATTCCTTCTTTAGAGGAAGAACAATCCTACCTTTAAATCCAAGTCTCTGGAGGACCTGAGTAGCAGTGCTACCCTTCTCTTTATTCAACACAGACACCACAGAATCAGCAGGGTGAGAAACAATTGCACAGAAGACTCCAGCTGGAAAAAGTCAAGAAATATGATTCAATATGGGGTCAGTTAAGAAAAAAAAAACCACACCACAGCCAACAATACTGACATGACTAAGTAATAAAATTTTGTAGTTCTTAAGAACAAATCAGAATTAGAGTAAGACTGACAAGAAAGGTTATAAAGCGATTTACCCAATCTTTCAAAAGTTTTTATATTCAGCTTTTAATTAACACTTTCTTTTGTATTTTTAAATCTGTTCTAAACAAAACAAACAAAAAACAAATAGGAGAGCAGTCAAATCAATGTATTCCCAAGCTTAACCATGCAAACAATGAATCCTGAAGGTCATATGAAATGCTATGGGAAGATAGCTTCTTTAGAGTATTTTTTCACAAGAGGTCAGTAATGAAAATAACTCTTTCATTTCGGACAAGCGTGATCTAAGTAATTCATACCTATGTAACCTGCCACAAATGTTACAATCAGCTGCTCTCCCTTGGTACATTCACTTCGGGGCTTAGGAACCACAAACTTGTACAATGCTTCAACAGTACGTTCAAAGCAGGCGAACTTCATCATGGTGTATGGTATCTGTCTCATCCACAGAGGAGCAACCCCCTTGTAGAATCTAGGAAATCACAGGACTTATTTTAGTCAGTTGCATATATTTATCTAGCACAATTTCCATCATTCACAGAAGTGTCCGCACACCAGTCAAGTCCTGATAGTACAAAAATGGCAGCACAATGGCATGCCATTTGTATCAGAACCTAAGACTAACATGCAGGTATATTTATCTCACATGCCAATGACTCAAGCACCTTCGACTGTACAACCAAAAAGTTGCTGGATGTTTCCTGACTGGAACTACAAGAAACAGTAAAGTTCACAAGTAGAACTCAGTTCAAGATTGGCATCCACAAAGGTGGATCTAAGGAAGCATGTTGTGGCCTGACCATATGCAAATTCTTAACTGTGAATACAGATGACAAGAATTCTAAACAAAGTCTCCCCAAAAGTTAACAGTTAATGTTTATGTCAAATATCAAGTCACTTGTAGATTGACAAATGGTCCCTCCCTCCCTACTTTAGAGAAAATTCTTAATTCAGGGCTCAAACCATGTTATCAACTTATTCTTGCCCCTGGAGTTTATGTTCTATGTAAAGGGGTTGAGGGGATGAACATTAAACAAAAAATTTTTAAAGTCTGGTAGGCTTAATGCTAACAAATGCAGTTCCCTCAAATGAGTACCTTATACTATAAATTGAGGCAAATGTTTACTTACGCATTTAAGCCTTCTTCCTTATACATTTTGGGAGCTGCATCCCTTAGAGTGTTGGCATAACCTGGTTGGGTTTGAATTCGAACCTTAGCAGCTTCCATAGGAGCCAGGGCAATGTCAGCAAAGAATTCAGCACTGGCAGAGGCGGCCAAATACAGTGATGTGCGCCAGAGATAGGTGTTTTCCTAATTGAAAAACACGAGGGAAGTGAATTGGCTATTTTCAATTTTACTTTAAGGGAAAGTTCTAGGAAACAGTTAAATTTCAGACATTTTAAGTGTTTCTCTACTATACAGTACATGGATAATACACATGATATGAGACTGAATATGTTTACCTCTCAAAACTTCAACCACAGTGCAATGTGAATAGCTTTAACACCTAGGTACCAAGAATGGCTGATCCCTGAACTACACTAAAGAATCTGTGGAGGAGAGACTGTGCCATGAGTGACCACTGCTGGAACCTCATTCTAGATCCAGAACAGAGATTGCTTCCTGAAAATTCACCCAAAGACTGCCTGATGGACCTGTCCCTTACACCCCAGATGTGTGGGTTCCGTTGCCCTGCCACAAGCAAGCATGTAAGGCATTTTCCCTTTATCTGGGGCAGGTCACATGCAAGTCTCCCAACCATCTCTCCCAGTCCTAAATAACTCCTTAGTGCCTACCATGTAGTAGGACATCCATACCTTGTCTTGCTGACACCCAAGACATGTTTAGTGTGTAAATTCCCTTAATAAACTCTTGACATAAACTCAAAATCCAACTTTTTGGAAAGCAGCGGTGTATAATAAAAAGAGCACTGAAATATAATGATATATATATATTTTTTTTCATCTTGTTGCTAGAACAGACTTATGATTCAAAACATGTTGCTTACCATTTCTGAGACCATTTCCTCAGTTCTAAAATGAGGTGGGTCAGACAAAAATCTAAGATCCTTTTTGGTTTTAAACTTTAAGTAAAAAGCTCAGGACTTTTAATTGCAAAGTTAACTTACATACCTCTCCAAGCATGTTGCTATAAAAGACTTTGAAGACTTCATAAAAGCCAAATTTGCAGAGTCCCTGCATAGAGTAGCCAATGAAAGTTGGAGCCCATCCTTTAGCCAAACCACGAACACCATCCTCTTTAAGTGTAACTGAGAATCCATTAAATATGCCTTTATACTTCTGGGGGTCCACCTATATTTAAAACAAAAAGAAAAAAAATGTACCAAAGAGCTAACATTTCTCATAAATACTTAATTTTCTTATTAGTTTTTCTTCCCATTTGGTTCTAAAATAAACTTCAGCAACTACACAAAAGGTAGAACAACATAAGCTCACCACATGGTAACAGCTTATTATCTATAATTATCTTTGTAAATGTGTACATCAAGCATGTCAAATTCGCGACCCACAAGCCGCGAGTTTGACATGCGTGGTGTACAATGACGTTTATCTTTCTTTCAGTTAGACTTAAGTCTCGGAGGGTTAGTTCAGAGGGTAAAATGTCTACAATACAAAAATACTTAACAAAACTGACTCTAAGAGAGTTCTCACCACCCAACTCTACCATTTTAAAGATTTAGTTTCAAAACTACTGTCTAAATAACAGATAACTCTACAGGCATGCCTTAGAGATATTGCAGGTTCAGTTCCAGACCACTACAATAAAGATAATATCACAATAAAGCAAGTCACACACATTTCTTGGTTTCCCAGTGCATAAGAGTTATGTTTACACTATACTGTTGTCTATTAAGTGTGCAATAGCATTGTCTAAAAAGACAATGTACATACCTTAAATAAAAAATACTTTATTGCTAAAAATGCTAACCACCACCTGAGCTTTTCAGCAACTCATAATCTTTTTGCTCATGAAGGGTCTTGCCTGTATATCTCTGATATAGGCTAGCCCATCAAGTAGATTACACTATAAAGTCAAAGTTTTGTGAACTTAATACAATCAAACTAAATACAAGTTAAAAAGGTACATCAACATAATGAGTATCTGTCTTCTGACCTCAACTCACTTCAAGAGACATGCATAAAAAGTATTAAAGAAGGTATATTTCATATCTATTCTATTAACTAAGTGGTGGGGGGGAATCTTATCTCACTATTTCTGCCAGTACTACAAGGGCCGGTATACATCACCTTCCTCTCCCTGCTAATATTTCACTTCCTTTCTCTTTTAGGTAAGTAGACTTCTAATCCTGTTTGGAACAAATAAATTTTTAAGGTTTGATTATTTTTGCTTCAATAATTCTAATCAAGATATTCTAATTATTTAAAAACCTTTTATGTAAGTGAATATATAAAAAGCTTAAGATACATTTTTAAATCTACATAGCACTGTCTGCCTTAATCTTATCAATTAAGAGATGTAAAGTTACTTCACATAATACAAAGAATGATTACCCACTCTGACATGTAACTGCTTATAAAATGACTACTTGGAACATAAAGAACCAGCAGGTCTTGAAGAGGCACTCTAGCCAGAAATGAGCCCAACAGCAAAAAAACATTTACAGCCAGAGTCTAAGATCCAACAATCTACCCACATTCTTATTTTAAAAGAGGCATTTCTTGGATTTAAAATGCTAATTAAAACAAAGAAATTCAGGTTTGGTTTCCTACTAAAGTTTCTAGCAGTTCTTCTGTATTCAAATTCTTCTCATTTGTGAAGTCCTTTAAGATTATTTGGAATGAAGTCCCACATGAAAGCTTTTAACATTGTTATCCCAATACAAACCTGCATACGGCATTTCACTAAATCCAGAGGAACGACGGCGGTGTGTGTGATACCACAACTTAAGACCCCACCAAAGCCACACAGTGCATAAAACTTCATGGAGCCATATTCACAACTGTACTCTGTAATAAGACAAGACACACCATGCATTTTAGTATAAAACTCATGTTATTACTGGTTCTCAACTTACCTCCTGGACAGTTAGGTTCCCACACAGCTTGTTAGTAGATGACTACATCTTACAACTTAGCCATGCGCCAACAATATGCTTTATTCAGTCCCACATGCAAAACAAACCTGCATTCTGCATTTAACCAGATCTAGAGGAACCAATGCTGTATGTGTTGTGCCACAGCTAATAATTCCTCCAATTCCACAAAGGATAAAGAATCTGCCAGATCCATAGTCACAGCTATACTCCTCTGATTGGGGAAAAAAAAAAAATCAAATAAGTATTTCTTCAGATGACGAAGGCCATGGGAATGAAGAGAACTGTTTCCCTGTGAAATAATTGTACTATCGCAACTGAATAGCTCTGGCCACCTGTTTACAATTAAGTTGAAAGGTGAGTTTCCACCTAGCTCGAGTAACAAGAAATTCACGGTCACAATTAAAACAATCACCAAAAGATGATGAAGATCCCATCTGTGAGAAAAAAAAGTTTCCTACATTAATGATTAAAATCAAACTTCCAATCATTAATCGCTGGTAAGAACGCACTTCAGAGTACAAATCAAACTCGGAAGGAGCACTCCGCTTGCCAAATCCTAGGTTGACCCCAGCCACTGACCAGTCCCACCCCCACTTACGGATTCCCACAGCGCACACAGCTGGGGAAACATCCATTCCTGCCCTCAAGCCCATGGACTACGCCAAGGGCGCTAGCTTTCCCTTCCGAAATGGAAGGACGGAATGCTAGGGAGAGGGTTTCCTACCCACACTAAAGGCTCAGCAACAGAAACACATACCCGATTTAAGAAAAACAGACCTGAGATTTTACAGGTACGATGTCACCGTGCTGGAGTTACGAGTTCGTTTTCAGGTCTCACACAATTCATTTAAATGGCGTCTAACCACCAAGAATCCCCAGAAATAAGACCTAAGGGATCCTATACCAATGACGTCCTTTCTACGGCCCAGATATCTGAGGCTGCACCTCGCCGCCTCCACCAGCCGCATTGAGACCCCGTTATCCCACACTATCCTGGGCCAACACCTAACGGAGGAGGGAGTGCTTTGCAGAAGGAAATTAAGGCCAGATCAAAGAACAGGTAGTACCGTCGGACCTGCAGGTGGCCAGGGGTTAGGAAGGACTTTACCCGATGCTGACCCAGCGGACTTACGGCGGAGATAAGGGGCTAGTCAAGGCCTCTCTCCTCTGCTCCCTCGAGGACGCGGAGGTCAAGGAGCGAGCCGGGCCTCGGCCTCCCACGCCCTTGACTGGAGGGAGGGCCAAGGCTCCGACACCCGGCCTGCGAGGAGCGGGCTGACATCCTCCCGCGAGCACCCGGGCGCCGTTCTGCGGGGCGGCGGGCGGGCACGTCCTTTCCTTCCCTCCAGCCCCCCGCAGACCCGAGTGGGCATAACGAGCGTAGCGGGGCAGGGCCTGCGCTCACCTTCTACGCGGCGGCTGCCAGGCTGCGGGAGCGGCGGGGCGGGCCCGGGGGCCCGGCGGGGCTGCTGGAGGGACCCGCGAGGCCATCGTACACTAGCTGCAGGTGGGGCGCGTTGAAGGGGTTCGCCCGCGCCAGGTGCGCCACAGACGAGAACATCTTCCTAGGGCAGGAGGGGCGGGAGGTCAGAGGAAAGGCAAAGGGCGCCGGCCGCCTGGGTCCCCGATCGGGGCCTTGGTTTTCCCGCCTCCGCGCCCTTGAGGAGGTCACGGCCGCCTCCCCAAAAGAGGAGGTCGGCCGGGCCTACAGCCAAAGCATCATCCCCCAGGGGCGCCGCTCGCCGCTCCCCGCCACCCCGCACCTGCCGCGCGGAAGGCCGGACCAGACTCACTCCTTAAGATGGCGAACACACCGGCGCTCCGCGGAAACGCAGCGGCTCACAGAGGCCGAACGTCCTCCGAGCCCTTAGATGAGTGTCCTTCGCGCAACGTCAGCGTGACGTACGCAGCCAGTCACTACAGTCAGGCGACACCCATTGGCGGAGAAGAGCGCCGCGGCAGCAACGTCATCGCGTTCTCCTAGCAACCCTATCCCCGCCCCACCGGCCCCAGCCCTTCCGGTCCGGCTTCTGCGCAAGAGGATTCGTGCTGCGCAGGCGCGCGAGCGGGGCCGGCTTTCGAGTGGTGTGGGAGTTGTGCTCGTGACCTCCTCCTCCGTGTCCCTTCACCTTGAAGAGTCTCTCCTTGACGCCGGGGCTTCCGTTCTTTTCCATTGAAGTGAGTCCCGGTATAATAGTCGCTTAAAAAACAAACAAACACGGAATGCTTGATGCGAATCATTTCGGGTGTTGCGGTTAGAATGTCCCTGCAGTATTTTGTGTGACTTCCATTGACGTGACAAGTAGAAATGTCTGCAAGACTTTAGAAGAGGATTTTAAAAGGAAATGTGCAGCAAGAATTCTAAAGGTAGACAAAACAGCTTGCTGCTTCATCACAGTATTTTATGTAACATTAAAACATTCAACACATGCCGTGTAAGCCCTGGGGGTCCAGAGATGAGCTAGAGTGAAAGTGGCTGGCAGCAGATGTTTGTGTTGAATAAATTTAGAAAATCTTCATTAGATTCAGTTTAACAGAGAAGGACCTACTTTAATGAAGGGGGAGTTTAGTAGAGGTCAAACCTCTGAGGAAAGAGTGAAAATATGGAATCCCTTTAACCAAGCCGCTAAAGGTAACATTATGAAGGTTGAGAGGCACGAGAAACCCATTCAATTCTTGTTCCAACGAGCCTGGGAACTTAAACTTTTGAACTTTCCAGTCCATGTATCTGGACATAACCAGGTCTCTGATGACCACCTGAAAAGGACTCAAGGGCCCAGGACCTGACATCCGCCTAACAGCCATCATCCAGACTGCCCGACACCTGACTGATAATCATCCTAGACTCTACCTTATGCAGTTTACACAGGACCCTGTGCTTGGTTTAATGCCATGTTGCCACCATTTGAAACTCTTAATAATTTATGAACATGTTAAAAAAAAACAACACAGGATGCAACCAAGTAAATTTGAAGATCTAATTGGCTGTTAAGCCATTCATGATTCGGGCAACATCCCATCTAGCAACTAGAAGAGTGCCCTGAAGGGCAATACAAAATGGAGGGTTTGTATAGGAAGAAGGATGATCAAGGGAACTATCAACAAAAGAAAAGAAAGAATTCTTTTTAGACCCAGATATCCTCTTTTGGGATAAAGGAAAAAGCAAGGGTTTTAATCAGCTGATTGCCTCTTCTTTCTATGGGGGGGGGGGGTGTTGGGGGTGGCAGGGAGGAGATAGAAAGGGCCCATGGTACAGAAATACCTTACTGTTGATTAACCAGAAAGTCCAGATGGGTTGATTAAGATTATATTTCTTGGAGAGGTTGAAACTGCAGTTAAGTCAGGCATTAAATCTAGGTCTGATACATTGGGCTTTTAGCATGAGTGATGCCATTTTGGGCCTGTGGTTTTCTCTTTAGCAAACTAGAGATCCTGCATTTTTGGAATGGGCCCTGCAGATTATGTAGCTGGAGCTGGATGGGAATAATGCCTATCTTGCAGAGTTCATGCGAACTCAGTAAGATGATTTCTAAAAGTGAGTATTTTTAGCTAAGGAGCCAGGTTGGGGAGGGGGTTGAGTGGATGAGAAGTTAGTAAGAGAGAGAGTAGGGTAATTCTTGCTAAATTGGCCTAAAAGGATTCTTGCTGAAGGCAAGCCAAGGTAATCAGATACCATTTGGGGGTGAAGAATTTATCAGCTATCAACTAAACTGACTTGACAGAATTCTTGTTACACTTGGGATCTTGAAGGACATGCCCAATAGCAGGCCT